GGGCTTGGGGTTTAGGGTTTAGCGTTTTGGGCTTAGGGCTTAGGGTTTAGGGTTTAGGGCTTAGGACTTAGGGTTTAGGGTTTAGAGCGTAGGGCTTTGGGTTTAGGGTTTAGGGTTTGGGGCTTAGGGTTTAGGGTTTCCGACCCCTCACCAGCAAAGGCCAAGGCCCAGACCCTTACCCCACAAACACCGCCCTTTGGCCCAGAAAGCCCCGCGAGCATCAGGGTAAAACCTAAACCCTAAACGTTAAGCTTTAGACACAACATCCCCACATCCCGTTCATCTTCGGGGATCCCGGTTTGCCATCTTCCGGAAATCCAGGATATCTGCTGTTCCTCTCTTTGATGGCAAGCCCCTGCCGTATTAAGGCTAATACTGGGTGGTACCCGGCACTCCGCTATTATGCTCTTTGTAGTGCGATGGGTTTTAGAGCTTACACAAAAAAACTAAGCTCAGGTTCCACTTTGGTATTTGTGCGCTGGAGAATGTCACTCAGAATGAGTGGGAGGTGTTCCTGGCTGTGCCGTTCTCCCAGATACCCAGAAGCACGGGGCCTGTGCGCATTACACAGTTTCCGAGCTCTGGTATGCTGGTATGCAATGTTGACGGTTTGTGTTGTAGAACAAGACAGGCTCGGGTTTGAGGTATTGGATTGTGATTGGTCACTGGCACTACTATGGGGGTTTCCGAAAATAGGGGACCCTAATATAGTACCCTAAATAGTAGGATCCCTATTATAAGGACCCCAAAATAAGGTACCCCCCCCAATTTTCTGAAACTCCCCTATCTGCCTAGCCACTCGATCTGGCCAGCGGTTGGCATGGCTGGAGCGCCCCAGAAGCGGCTAAGTTTCAAGGTTCACCTGCGAGCTTTCTGAATTTCGACGTTCCATAGGTACCTATAGTCTGCATTGTAGTTCCTTTTTTGGGGTTACCTTTTCGGATGCTTAATTTAAGATTGGTTAAACAAAAAAAGGAACTACAATGGAGACTATAGGTATGGGCTAGGCTTCCAAAGAATCAAGAGCACAATGTTCATGAGCACGGGCCAGAGCCAGAGCACGATGCAGGTTGGCCAGCTAGACGATGCTTGTTGCCATAACGGCACATCCGATGTTAAGTACTGCCTGAACCCCTGAAACATCTATATATGTTTAGCTTGCTTTACCATTGCTTCCGTATGTAGTTCCTAAACCCTAAACCCTAAACCCTAAACCGGAACACTTCAGGTAGACTTTTGGGGATTGTAGGTAAATTTTAGGAGGAAGCCTTGGTTCTTCGACTGGCCGAGGTCAGAGACCGGAAACAAGTGCTTTGGCAGCATTAAGGGAGTTTCCAAAATACGAGACCCTGATCCTTCTTTTTAGGCCACTATAAGGGGTCCCCATCTAAGAGACGCCATAGACGCCGAAACCTCTCCGATGTGTTCCTTGTTGTCCTGCACCATGTGTGAAGCTGATTAAAGATTTCTGCTGAGAGCACTCGAGTTTGTCTATCTACTTCTACCCGTATGCTCATGGAAACTATCCTGCCCGAGTCCGTGAATCGTGGCGGAATGTCACTCTAGATGCACGTGGCCCGAGTCCGTAAGACCACTCCCAACCAATAAGTCAACGGTGTCTTCGTCTTTTGCCCTTGCTATGTTACACCGTGGCGATGTTGTCGTCACTCCTGCTCATGTGTTGTCGACTACAAGGTTCACAGGAGGGTTCTGACAGATTTGAAGATTAGAGCCGCGTCCCAAGGTTTCAACGTCCACGTCTGCGGTTTTATCACTTTGGGTTTGTAGAGCTGTAGGCCTGGCATGGCCTTTGCAATCCAATGGCCCCTTGCCGTCGAAGTCAAGTGGCGCTTGCTCTACGGCAGCTTTCTTTTGAGCCTTCTGCCTTTGTGTATTGCGCTTTGCTTCTGTGAAGATCACATTTACGATTGTTTCGAAGATGTTGTGAACATTTGGTTTGGGCTTTTCCTTGGGCTCTTGCATGTCCCTGGCTCCTCGGCGGGCAGACTCGGTTCCTGGAGAACCACGGTGGTGCTTTGCGGTTTGATCACCTTTCTTTCTACCTGTCTTGCGGGCTATCCATGTGTGCTCTGGGCATTTCCGTTTTTGAGATTGCATGAAGAAGATCCAGATGTATTCACTTTTGTTCCGGGCCAGCAGACACTTACTTTTCTCCTGCTATCGCTGATATGGATATTCTGCATGCTGAGAGAGCACCCGCGATCTACCTGCACACACGATGCAAAATGGTGCATGTCAGCATTCTGGCTGGGCGGGGCAGCATGGCAGGCTGGGTACATATATCTGGAGAATGGAGATACTACGATGGCACGAAACGCTGTGCAATTTGGCAGTGGGCTGCAAGGTGTTGCGCTCGGCTGGAGTTTGTACCTGCTGCAGATGCGAATCCTTGGAATCCGATCTAGTTTGCAGCAAACATCTTGTTCGGCCTTCGGTTCTCGAGTTTTGATACCCGTCATGTGCGGAAGCTGGCTAATTCGCCACATGTCGTTCTTATTTTTTGTACACCCACAACGTTCAGACGGGAAAGTTTGGCCCTTAGTCGTCAGCCTGTCTGTGCTGTGTATTGTTTGGGTTGTCTACGCTGCACTGATATGCAGGATCTTATCCCTCAAGTTGGGTCTTTTGCTGCAGGAGACAAGGCGAGTTCGAGGGCCTGCAAGGGGACAGGCTATTTGGGCCGCGAAAGTTGTTGGTGTGGAGATGCTGATATGTGCAATTCTTGGATTAGCCATGTGCTTCCATGGCGTCGTCTCGGGCATTGTTTTGTATTTGCGGGCGCGATTAGCGCATGATTGGTCAGATGCAAGCTACCGATGTTTTAAGACAAGGGCTGAGCTTCTGCTCGGTCTCACAAACGCGATGTGGGTTGTGAACTCACTTGGACTGGGCCTTCTGTCGGGGATTCTCTGGCAAGTACACCCTCCCAAAGATGTTTCGAATTCTGCAGCCGAACTCACACGAGGACTTGTCTCCATGTCAAGCTTGCTGAGCCCCCGCGGAAAGGAAGCCTACGATCAGGTGGTGAAGCAGCTAGCAAACCGCTGTGTTAGCCTAGAGGCGCTTTTGAGTTTCTGGGCACATCTTCGCGATGGTCAGACGATGCCAGGCTTTGATCCGCGACGCTCCTTGACGAACGATGTGGTTCGACGGGCCATCATCCCCGAATCGCGAGTCGGAGACGGCGGTTATGCCTTGGCAACGCTATGGTCCGGCACCGAGATGAAGCCGCAAGTCATGGTCACGCACAACTGGACCAACGGCTTTGGAAGTCTTGTCTCGGCAATCCTCGCGGATGCTCTGGGACGGGCCGGCTATCAGGAGGTTTCGGCTCAGATTGCCACACCGTCAGGGATTGAACAGGTCCGGGCGAAGTTGGCCGGTAAGCTGGAGACGACCTACTGGGTGTGTGCCTTCTGCATCAACCAGCATGCTAGTATTTGTGGTGGCTTCGGGCCGGAACCGCCCCAGGAGACGCCCGAATGGGCCGCTTGGAACAGGAGGCGGTTTGATTCGGTCACTGGTGAAGCCTTCGCGCTTTGCAACTGCCAAGTAGAGAAGGTGTTCAGCCACACTGACGCAAGGTGTGAACTCAACAAGTTCGATGACATGATGACACACTTAGCCCAACATGTGGTGCGTTTCGCTCAACTCATCGTCGTCGATGACGCCTTCGACGTGCTTTACTGGGCATGGTGTGTTGCAGAAATATTCGAGGCCAACGTGCTCGGCATGGAATCTCGAATACAAGTTTCGTCACAAGATGCCGTGGATCAGAACTACGACAGGCTCTCACTGTTAGATGTCAGACAATGCACAGCTTCGTCTCAAGCTGACAAGGACATGATCATGGCGAAGATCGCAGATGTGGAAGTCTTCAACTGGAAAATCCAGCAGCTCATCTTCGCTGAAGAGATGGGTTTGTTTGTGCAGTGGGTGGAGGGGAACGAGCGATCCCGGCAGGTGGGTAGAATTATAAAGCGCTGCGAGGCACGAGCACTGGGCACCGAAGACACACCGGCTTACAGACCTCGCAGATGCTTCGCATCGCTTCGCTTGCTCACGTCTCCAGACGGCGACTCCGACGAATCGTCGGAAGATGCACTGAGAGCGGAGACTTCGGATTCGTCTTCATGCGGCAGCTGACAGAACGCGACCGGCTATCCCTAAGACACCCTAAATTCCTCCATCCTGCAACCTACAAAAGCCCTGCAACAAAAGCTTCAAGTCCGACCAGAGTCCTACGCATCAAGCTTTCTGTGCCCAGGTTTGATCAATTCAAGAATCGGCTCCACGGCAACTTCCAGTACACCAAAGGCTACAAAGTGAGGCAACTCGCGAAGTTCTTGGCTAATTCCGGGGCCGTAATAACTACCGATACTAAACTCAGTCGCCTTGCTTGCCGAGTGTGACAACCCAATCCCAAACCGACCCCAAGACCTTGGTGAGCACAGCCTCAACCCTTAGCTTACAGAGTCCTGACCCTAAATCCTCAAGAAACAAACCACATACACAAAGCCTGAAGGGCCAGCATTTACGCTTAGGGTTTTGAGTTTACGAGAGATGCCCGAGCGATGTTGTTTGCACTTTCCGAAGATTTGCTTGAAGGGTAGAGCTGTTGCGCTTTTGTGTTTTCATTTCCCGGGACCTCACGACTCTTACCCGACCCCATGATTTGTTCTCTCTTTCTCTCTCTCTCTCTCGCTCTCCCTCTCTCTCGCTCTCTTTTTATGTTGTTTCTATTGATGCTAGTTGCCTGTCTCTCTTTATCTCTCTCTCTCTCTCTCCTCTGTCGCTCGTTCCGTCTCACCATCACGCTTTGCCTGCATGTCCTCTCACGGTTTCAGGGGCGGGACCCGGAAGAAGTTCAAAAGCGTGCTCCTCAGAAGGCGTTCGCCAAGGCAAATCCTCCTGGGTGGACTGGAGATTTCAGGAATGACTGAATTTTAGATCTTCGGGTTCACATATTGGGTTTCGATTTTACTAGTCTAAGAGCCCAAATCTCTCAACCCTTGGCCCCAAAGTGCGATTGCAAGATCGATGTATCAACGACCTCTTCTCCAGATCCTGCAGCGGGCACCCTGAGCCGAGGAATGGAGCAAGTCTACAGCAAAGAGCACAACCTGAGCTGCACGGCCTTAAATTGGCTCGCGATAATGCATGTTACACGCGGTATATATTCCGTCTATCTATCTATCGATCTATCTATCTATATCTCTATCTGCCCATCTATCTTACAATGTATCTGCCCATGTATCTATCTAGCTAGTCATTTACGTAGATAGTTCGTTAGATAGGTAGCTAAGTAGCTGTGTAGAGTTGGATGGAGCGCCGGATGGATAGATAGATCGGTCGATACCCAGATTGTAGACAGATGGGCAGATAGCACGTAGCAGACCAAGGTGGGGCTCCCAAGACCACCACCCCAAACCCAAAACCCCAAAACCCTGAATCCTAAACCCAAAATCCGGAGCCCTGGAACCCTAAACCCAAGCCCCCAAATCCGGAACCCGACACCCCAAAAGCCTGAATCCCAAACTCTGAATTATAAAGCCTTAAAGGGAGTGGTTCTCCTAAGCTCACGGCATCGCAAAGCCGCTCGAACGTGTTTCATGCGCTCAAACCCCCGCATGAAACGACTGGGCCAGAACATGAACTGGGGTATCAAGGTTTTCTGAAACAAAGCAACACCAACATTTTTGTAAGCCGGAGAGGAATTTTCTTATGTACTTGCGTAGGCCTCTTTTGCAAACATGCCCAGTCCCGGGCAGTTCACGTCTTCTCTGCCTGGGGCCGAGGTTACAGGCAGATGCAGAATCATGTCGGCGGCTCAGAGTTTTTGGGCTTAGCATTCCCTGGGCTCTGGTTGCTTATAGATAATGGGTTACTGGGGCTGCTGGGGATCTGCTTCGAGCCTTGGCACTGTAAAGAGCAGCTCCGCCAGCCATTTTGAGAATTGAAGGGGTCTTCGGGGTAGAAAGATGTCAAGCTTGTTTGTTGTTGCCTTCATAGCGTCGGCAGGTTGAAGTCAGAGGGACAGCGTTCGCAAGATGCCGTCACTATCTGAGGAAGCAGCTGGCATCCCTCGACCCTTGCAGATCCCAAAGATCGACGGTTGCAGCCCGAGCTCCGCCATCCCCACATCCGCTCCCAAAAGGGTCCTACTGTTGATGGATCAAATTCTGCATGACCCAAATATAGTATAGTACCATAAATCCCATAGTTTAGGTATATAAGGTCATGCAGGATTTTGTCCATCGACCGTAGGTCCTGTTAAGGGGGAGTTGGAGGATACTTTCCCAAATCGTACTACCTCTTCCAAAAACAGAGACCCTACATTCCACTACATAGGTGCTTTTGAGCCTTCGTGCCTAAAGCCCAAGCCCTGAACCGTAAGACCAATGCATCGGGCTCCTGATCGCAGTTCGTGACGATGGATGTGTGGACCGTCAGCAAGCTGCAGTTCAACACCCTGCTGGGCACTGCCGGGGTCCCATATAGTCGTCAAATATAGTCAACATCGAATACCAACGGCTCAATGACATCCAAAGACATAACATGTACAAGGCTGTCTCTTTGCATGGGCAGTTCTCTGAGTTGGGGTCCTTTTAGATCCCATACGGCACCCATACAAAAAGGACCCAGCCCGGGGATCCTAATTTAGAGAACTACCCATACCATCTATGATGCTATAGGGTGTTCAGGTAATGGGCTCCTTCGAGAATCGGGAAAACAGGGCTTTGAGCCTTTGAGCTTATTGTGCTTAGCGCTCAGATTCCGAGTATACGAAGGTCGAGTACCTACTTTGGGTCTAAGTTGGTTACAAAGTACCTGCTTTGGGCTATGCGGAGTCTGATGGCACGCCACCTGAGGTCTACATGATCGCTAACCCCTGACATCTCACACAATCAATTAAAGCTACAGGCGTTTGGGGTTTTAGGGTTTAGTTTAGGCTACTGGAAACGGATAGGAATTGTGAGTCCGGAGCTCAGGGTGCGCCACACGACTTCTTGCGGGGCTTCTTGGTTTTGTGCTTTGCCGATACATAATATACTATAGCTTAGCGTACTCTCACAGTATATTTTAGTGGTACTACAATTCTTGTGGTTCCATAGTACAAGTAACAAGTATACTATATGTAAGAACCCCCAAACCGTATTCTAACCATTCAGGCGCTTGTTTACCAGGGAAAGGAAGAGCAGCAGCGGCCTGGGAGTGGCCTGCCGCATGTTAACTGTGGACGTTTCCGGTATGGCGTGGAATGCATCCACAAAATCATAGTAGCGTCTAGGAGCAATGTTTAGGGTGTAGGGTGGAAGACTTACTTCAGAGTACCGTGAGAAGCAAGCTACAGCGAAGACAAGCTTTGAGCTGCCATCCTCAACCTCCCTGGTGGATTTCATGCCCCAGGGTTCACACATATATATATATATAGAGAGAGAGAGAGAGAGAGTTCAGGGTTTAGGGATTAAAGGCTTTAGGGTTAACGGTTTAGGGTGTCAGGGTTTGGGGCTTCAGGGTTTCATGTGCGGGTTTAGGGTTTATAGAGACCGTCTTCAAAAGACCTTCCAGCCAAGAGGCCAAGCGCAGCTTCTACGACCTGGCAAACGACAATGCCGCTTGGAAGTGCATCCGGATTGACTATGGCTATATGTTGACTATAAATTCTATGTGTGTATATTACTACAACTTGGCATACACTGTTTTATTTTATATAATATATCCTCCAACATGTACGCCTGGAGGCTTTCTATGTCTATGTGGCTCAATTATCGCCGCAAGCCGTAGCCAGAAGGCCAATATCCTGAACCCACACCTTTTCACTAAATCCCAAGAGCCCTGTGGCTTGAACATCATACACTAAGCTGGAAACCCTACCTGGACCCTAAAGAGCCTACCTTTTTGGACCTTTTTAGGTGTCTTGTTGTGTTCTTTAATATATGACTTTCCTATTATAAGTCCTCAAAACGGTAGGTTATTTGGGGTTAAGGTAAGCCCTAAACCCTTACCCTAAACCCTAAACCCTAAACCCTGAACCCTGAACCCTGAACCCTAAACCCTAAACCCTAAACCCTTACCTGAAAGCCCTCTGAGCCGAATTGACAGGTCTACCAGTATATCGGGATCAAGGCGGCCGGCCAGGCTCAGGCGCAGAAGGCAGCGGCTCATTAGCTTCCTGCTTTCTAGAAAGGATAAAAAGGGGGCCCTAATAATTTAATAATGAGAATAGGGCTTGGGGGCCCATTACACTAAAATTATAAGAAAGAGCCCCCAAAATAGTACTGGTAATGATTTGGGCCCCTGCATTATTCACAGAGTACTAAGGGTTTAGCATTTGCGATTTGGGGAATGCGGGCTATACGGCTTTCGTGGTGTATTGTCCGGAGGTTTCGTCGAAGTTGTGCATTTTTTCCGGGCTTGGAGCATCGAGCGGCTTCAAGTGGTGTGGAATCCTAAATCATTAAGACGATTATGATTATGATTATTCCTTATAGGGTCCCCTCTTCATATGGGCAGCTAACGCAGAGCCCAAACCGTATTCAAACGGTCAAGGCCCCTGTGTTAGATTGGCGGCTGCTAGAATGCACACCTCACTTATTCCAGAAGCATCATCAGTCTTGGCCTGTCAGCAGCCCTACGGGTTCGAATGAATACTTTATATTTCCCTAGGTTCTCTGATATACATGGATATAATATATATATATATATACATGTGTTAGCTGTAGATGCATATGTATGTGTATGTATACAGATGTAGCCACAATCTATCACAGATACCAGTTGATGCCTCTTTCCTCTGTATAGCTAGTTCTCTAAATTAGGGTCCCTTTTTAGGTCCCCAATATAGTACGGCACCCGTATAAAAAGGACCCCCCAAAACGGACCCTAGTTTCGAAAACTACCCTTATCCTAACACCTGAAGCCTCACGTGCCTGGTCTGAAGAGTCCAAGTCTGATCACCGAAACCTTGAGCCTGATAACATAGGGGCCTACATAGTTACCAATTACTATTTTTAGGAGTTCCTTATTAGTAACTATAGTGGTTATTATAGTATAACTATACCCCAAAACCCGATTCTAATTATTAAGGCCCCTACATTATTCAACCAAAAATCGAATCTTGCATGCGCTCACCTGACTCACATATCGCGGTCGTGCCTGCAAAGGGATGCTGCTAAAGAGGCGGCCCGAGCCTGTAATCAACCCTACCGCCAAGATCTCATCCCTGCATTCGAACCATCACCAAGCCTGATGAGATTTAAAAACACATTGAAAAAACCCACTCAACAGCGGCGGCCAGTGTTTTTCCTGGTGGATGACAGTGCACCATGGCAATGCTTTCTTCACTCATACTTATTGTCAACAGCTGACGGGCTCGTAGTGCTTTATGCATGGCCTTTGCATTCCAAGGGCCCCGTGCCTTTGAAGTCAAGTGGCGCTTGCTGTATGGCAGCTTTCTTTTGGGGCTTCTGCCTTTGTGCATTACGCTTTGCTTCTGTGAAGATCACATTTACGAAGTTGTGAGCACCTGGTTGGGGCTTTGCCTTGGACTCGTGCATGTGCCTGGCAGCTCGGCGGGCAGGCACGGGTCCTGGAGATGCACACTCGTGCTTTGCGGCTTGATCACCTTTCTCTCTACTTGTCTCGTTGGCTTTCCGTGCATGCTCTGGGCATTTCCGTTTTTGCGCCTGCCTCAGCATCAACAGGGTTTCAGTTCCGGCCCTGGGCCACAGACAATTCCTATTTTGCTGCTCTCACTGATATGGATTTGCTGCATGTTGAGAAAGCACCCGCAGTCAACTTGCACACACGATGCAAAATGGTGCATGTTCGCGTTCTGGCTGGTGTCGGCAACGTGGCAGACGTCATTCATATGTCTGGAGTTGAAGCAGAGTGAAACTGGGACTTGCTTGAATCATTTCCGTTGTGGAGTGCAAGGCGTTGCTCTTGGCTGGACTTTGTATTTGTTGCAGATGCGGATGTTGGGCATCTGGTCCGGTTTGCAGCAAACCTCTTACTCGACCTCTGGTTCACAAATGTGGCTACTCGTCATTTGCGGCAGCTGGCTTACACGGGAAATTTCTGTCATTATAGCAGAATCTTCAATATCAAGTTCGGGTGGTGAGTCTGTAAATATTTGGCCCTTCATCGTCAGCTTGTCAGTGCCCTGTATTGTTTGGGTTGCATACACGGCGCTGATATGCTGGAACTTGGCACCCAAATTGAGTCTCTTGCTGCGAGAGACGGGGCGAGTTCGAGGGCCACCAAGGAAACAGGCCATTTGGGCCGCGCAAGTTCTTGGCATGGAAATGCTGATATGTACACTGCTGTCGTTAGGCACATGGTACCATCACGTCGTCTCTGGCATATGCATGTACGCACGTGTGCGGTTGTGGCGCGCTCCCTCAGATGCAAATTATCGGCTGTGGATGTCTTGGAAGGAGCGAGTGGGCGAAGCCGAAAGCACCAACTGGGTGGTGGGTTCAGTAGGACTTGCCCTTCTGTCTGGGATTCTCTGGCAAGTGCAACCTCCCAACGATGACCCGCAGTCTGCAGCCGAGCTTACACGAGGACTCGTGTCCATGTCAAGCTTGCTAAGCACCGGAGAAAAGGAAGTCTACGACAAGGTGGTGAAGCAGCTGGCAAGCCGAGGCTTTCGCCTTGGCGCGCTTCTCAGCTTCTGGAAGCGACTTCTCGATGGTCAGATGATGCCGGGCTTTGACCCGGACCGCTCCTTGACGAACGATGTGGTCCGACGAGCAATCATCCCGGAATCTCGAATTGGACATAACGGCTGTGCCCTGGCAAGGAAGTGGTCCAGTGCCGAAACGAAGCCACAAGTCATGGTTACGCACAACTGGACCAATGGCTTTGGAAGTCTCGTCGCGGCAATCCTGGCCGATGCTTTGGACCGAGCTGCCTATCAGGAGGTTGCGGCCCAGATTGCCACAGCATCAGGGCTTGAACAGGCGCAGGAGAAGTTAGGCGGCAAGCTGGAGGCGACCTACTGGGTGTGTGCCTTCTGCATCAACCAGCATGCTAATATTTGTGGCGGCTTCGGGCCCGAACCGCCCCAGGGGACGCCCGAATGGGCTGCTTGGAACAGGAGGCGGTATGATTCGGTCACTGGTGAGGCATTCGTGCTTTGCGATTGTCAGGTGGAGAAGGTGTTCAGCCACACTGATGCAAGGTGTGAACTGAACAAGTTCGATGACATGATGACACATTTAGCGCTGGAGGTGTTTAGCTTTGGGCAGTTGATCGTCGTCGATGACGCTTTCGAGGTGCTTTACCGGGCGTGGTGCGTTGCAGAAATATTCGAGGCCAGCGTGCTGGGCATGGAATCCCGGATACAGGTGTTGTCTCAAGATGCCGTGGATCAGAACTACGACAGGCTCTCACTCTTGGATGTCAGACAATGCACGGCTTCATCACAAGCCGACAAGCAAATGATCATGGCGAAGATCTCAGATGTGGAAGTCTTCAACTGGAAAATCCAACAGCTCGTGTTCAGCGAAGAGATGGGCTTGTTTTCACAGTGGGTGGATGGGAACGAGCGTTCCCGGCAAGTCGGGAGAATTGTGCGACGCTGTGTGATCCGGACAGAGAGCACCCAAGGCAAAGCTGTCCGAGCATCTCGCAGATGCTGTGCTTCGTTTCGCTTGCTTGCCTCTGTGAACGACGACTCCGAGGATTCGTCAGAAGAGACTCCGACATCAGAGACTTCAGATTTGTTGCGAAGCAGCAGCTGAAAATTAAAAGGTCTGTCTCAGAGAGATGTTTTTGCCTCCCGCTCTTTGCCATCTATATGCCGATTTATGTTTTTTTGACTTTCGCGCTTCCAACCCTTACACGGCCACACATGTCCAAGGGCAGCCCAGTGCAATTGCCATTGGCCGCACGTCGGAGTCGTATCTCAACCTAGATCCTAAAGTTCCCTCCCGTCGAATTACTGTAGCAGTAGACTCTTAACCCCGACGCCCCTGAACCGTAAACCCACTTGAGGGGGCTGCTACGGAAGAGGACTGGCCGGCTTTTGGCATGGAAGTGGGGGCACGGTTGCTCCTCTACTCGCTTCTATAGTCCCCATGCGATTCTCTTAAACTCTGCCCCAGACTGGGCATTGTTCTTCGCTCAACAGTAGTAGTAGTCGTCGTCGTCGTCGTAGTGGTAGTTGTGGTGGATGGCAGTGGTAGTGGTAGCACACCCCATGTCAGCCTAGATGAAAGGAGACGCAGAAGAAGGGATTCCAGATTGGCAACGTTTTCGTCCAATGCCTTTGCTCGGAGGCTCGTCCTTGGTGGATGTTGAAAGACTTCGGTTTGTGTTCAGGGCTTTGGGTTCAGGATTCGGTAGGTAATTCGCGGACTTACGGGTGTAATGGTGGTGTAATTCTGGGCGTGTTTTAGTGGCAACGAGACTCCGACACATTTGGGCATGGCCTGTTCAGCCTGCAGATTCTGCGATACGCCTCCTGCTAGCCCTGCTTTTTGTTTGTTAATCCGCTATCGCGACTGCATGGCTTGGGCCATCATCGTAAGCAGAGCGTTGTGAAAGCGGGGACTCCAACAACATGAAGGGCACGCAGACAAGCAGATGGCAGTGATCAAGACAGCAATTCCCAGAGTCGATGTATACTACCATCATGGAACCGGGTCCCAAAAGACCATCCTTCTTTGTGGTTCTGGGGGCTCAGTTTCATAAAAGTAATAATATGCAGGGGCCCTCTATGATAGGAGCGACCTGCTGTCAACTTACTACCACGAGGTCCAGTAAATCTAACATCCCTACCGCTTTCAATGTTTCCAACACCTTGGCAAGCCTTGACAACACACAGTAGGTCGTTCTACACCTTGTGCCATCTTGTGCGGTATCAGGTTCGCAGATTCGTTGCTGAAGTATTTCAGATATCCAAGATCTGTCGTACTCGAACAAGAAGTGGCCTGCAGATCATGCGCTTCGACATCGTGTGGCGACCGAGTGGGCGTGCTGTGGTAGGGACACGCTGTGCTTGTCGCGGAGTCTTTTCAGTTCGGAGAAACCGAAAGAGTTATCAGCTCCTATCCAAAACCCCTCAAGCCGTGTTAGACGGCTCAGTTCTTCAGCTTGGGTTGTGAGCTTGTGCTGAGCACCTGTTTGATGGATGTCAGGCTGATCAGGCTTGTTTGCAAAGTTGAGGTTTCAGGGAGCGGGGTTTGTTCTTTGGCATTCAAGGTTGGTTTGGTGGATACCGGGTATGTGGTCTTCGATTTTGACGGTGCTCTATGGTCCTATAAGACCCTAAAGCCTGAGCCGTACACACCCCAAACCCTAAACCCCTAAACCCTATGCCCTATACACCTTCAGCTAGTAGTACTGAATTTGATTTCCGAGGCCTTGAACAACTGGCAGTTTCTGCCAAAGCCGGAGCTCAAGGACATGCGCGTTTTGAAACGTTCAATCCGCGCTATAGACCCAAACTCTGGAGACTAGAAGGTTGTGACCGTGTAACACTACCCATAGGCCCCATAGTAGTTCCTTTTTTGGGATTACCTTATAGGATTCAAATATTAACCCCCAAAAGGAACTACTATGGGGCCTGTGGGTAGGGCTAAACGCCTAAACCCTAAACCCGTTATCCTAAAACTCCTGGATCCTGAAAGAATTCTCAAGGACGGCTGAAATTAGGTAGAGGCGTTGTCGGTTCATGGCTTTGGGCTTCGAGTTGTCTTGCGGGCTCCAGTGCTCTCGGGCAATTTGGGTCCCAGGTTCAGGGCTTTCGGGGTTTTGGGGATTTGGACTTTATACCACCCAAAATGCTGTGGCTATTTTAACACATCTTACAGCAAGATCGGGTGCTCTGCCCCTCCAAGATTCATAGTCAAACCCTTACACAATGACAGGCCCCAGTACTGAGCACACCGTATAAGCAATAACCACATAGGAAACTGGCTGCTGGGCACTTGTGAAAAGCTTCCGAGAGCCTAGCACCTCTAAGTCTCTAAGCCCCTGAAGCCACAAAGACTAAAGGACAACACTACGAAGAAGAAGCTGCGGCTTGGGATTCCCACAGGCCCGGGTGCGCCGTCACCAGGCATTCGAGTCGGGTTTAGGGATTAGGGCTTTAGATTTAGGGGGTCGGTGTGGAGGTTTGGCTTCATTATGTGGGAGTTGGTCTATTGTTTTTGGAACCCTTAAACTTCAAGCCCTAAACCCTATTCTATGGGTTAAAAGAATCCTCATGACAGACTTATCATATGGAGGTAATAGAACCTGAACCTCATAAGCCCCAAACCCTGAACACTATTCTTAATCGGAGTAATGCAACACTAAACTGGCCCTAAAGTATCCTGAAACTCCGACTCTATTCGAGAGTGTTATATCGAAGAGCTCTTTCGAGGAGCGTACCTGCAGAAAACCCGAAACCACATCCCAACTCTGAAGCAACGTTCAGGATGAAGGTTTCGAGCCTGTGTCCTATAAGTTTCGGGTTCAGGGATTACAACAGGGCCTGTAGGACCTTACAGCAATTAGGGCTTTTCGGGCTTAGGGTGTGTCAAGTGATGTTTGTGGGTCTTGGGTCCTGACTGGATTCTGTGGTGGGTCTGAGGGCTTTGGGGTTAAGGCTTGGGGTTCAACATCAACACTTTACCCACAGACCCAATAGTAGTTCCTTTTCGGGATTACCTTATAGGATTCTAAATATGAACCCCAAAAAGGAACTACTAGGGGGCCTCTGAGTACACTTCATAAAGTCTGGGGTGTGTGCAAGTCCGACTCACAATGGCAACAGGACTTCGCTGTTTGCATCTATGGGGCGGCGGTGGTTCTTCAAGTTGCACTTCCGATTAGGGGTCCGCAAAGCAAGAATCAATCCTGCTGTTTAGGGTGTATACCGGAGTCTCTTGTTCTCAGAAGCAGCAATGTTCAATGTATATGCCTGGCGGATCGCGCGCAATAAACCCGGAATACCGATCTCAACCGCAAAACCGTGTTCGTGGACTCCAAGACCAAGAAACCCTTAGCCCTCAGCCCTGACATAACGGTTCATGTAAGAGCCCCAGGGTCTAAGTACTATGTCAGAGTTTCCGAAGTATAATGCAACTTGATACAACCCAAAACCCTATCTAGGGCATTCGATGTGGCATGGCATTTGCATTCCAATGGCCCCATGTGGTTGAAAGCAAGTGGCGGCTGATATATGGCAGCCTTCTTTTTGGGCTGTTACTTGTGCGTTTTGCACTTTGTCTCCGCGAACATGGTGTGTACGAATGTTTCGGAGGTGTTGTGAGCACCTGGTTTGGGCTTTGCCTTGGGCTCGTGCATGTCCCTGGCTCCTCGGCGGGCAAGCACGGGTCCTGGAGATGCACCGTCGTGCTCTGCGGTTTGATCACCTCTCTCTCTACTTGTCTCATTGGCTATCCTGGCGTGCTCTGGGCATGTCCGTCTTTGCAGGTGCATCAAGATGAACATGGTGTCATTTCCGATCCTGGTCAGCAGACGGTTACCCTCGCCCTGCTCTCGCTGATATGGATTTGCTGCATGCTGAGAAAGCACCCACGGTCTTCCTACACACACGACGCAAAATGGTGCGTGTTCGCATTCTGGCTAGCGTCGGCAGCTTGGCAGACGTCATGCATATGTTCGGACTTGGGCCAGCAAGAAGCCGGGACTTGTTTCTATCATTTGGGTGATGGAGTGCAGTGCGTTGCGCATGGCTGGGTCTTGTATTTGTTGCAGATGCGCATGATGCGCATCAGGTCTGGCTTCGAGCAGGCCTCTTGTTCCAATCAGTCTCAAATCTGGATACTCGTCATGTGCGGCTGCTGGCTCATTCGCAACATGTCTGTCTCTATCGCAGTATCAAGTTCGGGCGGTGGGTCTGTGAAAGTTTGGCCCTTCGTCGTCAGCCTTTCGGTGCTGTGTACTGTTTGGCTTGCATACACGGCACTGATATGCAGGATCTTGTCCCTCAAGTTGGTTCTGTTACTGCTGGAGACAAGGCGAGTTCGAGGGCCTCCAAGGAAACAGGCTATTTGGGCTGCAAAAGTTGTTGCTGTGGAGATGCTGATATGTGCGATGCTGGGAGTAGCCATGTGTTTCCATGGCATCGTCTCTGGCATGTTCATGTATGCATATGTGCAGTTATGGCGTGCTCCGTCGGATGCACACTATCGCCAACTTTTGTTTACATGGGGTGATCGCATGTTCGAAGTCACAAACACAAACTGGGTGCTGAACTCAGTGGGGCTTGCCCTTCTGTCTGGGATTCTCTGGCAAGTGCGACCTCCCATCGACGACCCGCAGTCTACAGGCGAGCTTACACGAGGACTCGTGTCCATGTCAAGCTTGCTGAGCCCCAGGGAAGAGGAAGTCTACGACAAGGTGGTGAAGCAGCTGGCAAGCCGAGGCTTTCGTCTCGGCGCGCTTCTCAGCTTCTGGAAGCGACTTCTCGATGGTCAGATGATGCCGGGCTTTGACCCGGACCGCTCCTTGACGAACGATGTGGTCCGACGAGCAATCATCCCGGAATCTCGAATTGGACATGGCGGCTGTGCCCTGGCAACGAAGTGGTCCAGTGCCGAAACGAAGCCACAAGTCATGGTTACGCACAACTGGACCAATGGCTTTGGAAGTCTCGTCGCGGCAATCCTGGCCGATGCTTTGGACCGAGCTGCCTATCAGGAGGTGGCGGCCCAGATTGCGACAGCATCAGGCCTTGAACAGGCGCAGCAGAAGTTAGGGGGCAAGCTGGAGACGACCTACTGGGTGTGTGCCTTCTGCATCAACCAGCATGCTAGTATTTGTGGCGGCTTCGGGCCCGAACCGCCCCAGGGGACGCCCGACTGGGCTGCTTGGAACAGGAGGCGGTATGATTCGGTCACTAGTGAAGCCTTTGCGCTTTGCAGCTGTCAAGTAGAGAAGGTGTTCAGCCACTCTGACGCAAGGTGTGAACTCAACAAGTTCGATGACATGATGACACACTTAGCCCAACATGTGGTGCGTTTCGCTCAACTCATCGTCGTCGATGACGCCTTCGACGTGCTTTACCGGGCATGGTGTGTTGCAGAAATATTCGAGGCCAACTTGCTGGGCATGGAGTCTCGAATACAAGTTTCGTCGCAAGATGCTGTAGACCAGAACTACGACAGGCTCTCACTGTTAGATGTCAGAGAATGTGCTGCCTCATCACAAGCTGACAAGGAAATGATTATGGCGAAGATCTCGGATGTGGAAGTCTTCAACTGGAAAATCCAACAGCTCGTGTTCAGCGACGAGATGGGCTTGTTTTCGCGGTGGGTGGACGGCAACGAGCGTTCCCGGCAAGTCGGAAGAATTGTGAGGCGCTGTGCGATGCGGGCAGAAATCACCAAAGACAAAGCTACCCACACACATCGCGGATGTTGTGCTTTACTTAGGTTACTCACGTCGTCAGACAGCGAGTCTGACGAATCGTCGGAAGCTCTGCTGACAGCAGAAGCTTGGGATTCGACTTCAAGCAGCAGCTGAAACAGCCGAAGGATGGTCTTAGAGCACGATAATATAGTATATTATATCAAATTGCATGTATCATATTCTAGTATAGTATTATATATTTTAGTCATAGTATATTCTATTCAGAGACCCTTCCGATCAGCCCACATCCGAACATTCAGCTAATAGGGTTCGGGGATTGATTTATTCTACATAATTCCAGTAAGGAACCCCAGAATAGTATAACCTTCAACCCTAAACCCTTAACCCTTAACCCTAAACCCTTAACCCTTAACCCTAAACCCTTGACCCTAAACCCTAAACCCTTAACCCTAAAGGTAGTTATTGAGGCCCCAACTGTACATCCGCTGAGCTTAGAGTCAACTTGCCACTTATGCCACGTTTGTGATAGGGTTTAGGGTTTAGGGTTTAGGGTATGATGTCAAAGTCCCCAGCCCTGCGGGGCCACGCATGCCCATTTGCAAGCCTGCTGAAGTTTGCTCTCCGTGCCCCTCCGTCATGGTACAAGCCCTCGAGTTTACGACCCCTCTAGCCCTATAAAGCTCTGAACCTGCTATCAAACCATGCACAAAGAACAACCCGAGCCCCTGCAGCCGAAGACGAGACAAGAGTCGTCCCAGGCCCCAAGAAAGGCAACGACACCTTCGAGACCGAGCCATCGGATCCTCCTGTGTATAGCTGGGCTCGGGTGGGGGGCCCCGGGTTGGGGTGTAGGCTAGGGGGTCCAGGGGTTAGGGACGTTTTCCAGGCTTGTGTAAGGGTTTTGCAGGGCTATAGCCTGGTTGACAGCGTTTTGGGGGAATAGAGGGCATCAGGTGTGGCTGCAGGGCTTTCGCCAAAAAAAAGTCTTGGGTTGGGGTGGATCACGAATGAAGCCTTTTTGAAGGTTTCAGGGGTGGCCTTCGCAGGGTACTGACTAAAGTTGAATAAAGCTCACTCGCAGTGACTTATGTTAAATAGTTGCCAAGTCCACGCGCTTGAAACCTCAAGTGCAGTAGTAGAAAAGTCAGCCCCAGATTCTACAGTACTACTCTAAGGTCTGACAAGTTCTGCAAACCCTAAAGCCCTAAAGCCCTAAACCATAACCCTAAACCCTAAACCCTAAAGGGAAAAGGCCCGAAACCAAAGCCCTGAGAGTAGCAGATTCGTGGCCCCCAGGGCGGCATGTTCATCTACAAGGGGACGAAGGACCTGGCCTCGGGAAGGTGAGGTTGAATTGAAGGCTTATCCTATCTGAACCCCAAGAGTATGTAGCAGAATTTAGGGTTTAGGGTTTAGCATAATTGCCCTTTATCGGGTTTGGGCCATTACGTTGCATACGTTTGTGGTTCAGGTGGCGGCTCCTTTAATTTACTGTAAGGGTTTTGCCAGAGTTCCGTGATGTCCATGAATTTATCAGGACTTACAACGTCTGTTCTGCAGTGTTATGAGGTGTTGGCGATTTGCTTCGACAGCTTTCGGGGTATTTACTATTCTGGGGTTCCCTATGTAAGATATAGTATAATATACCCCAAAACCCCATTATAGTACAACAAAACCCCAACTTTGTTCCTATATTATCGGCTCTTAGGGCCAGAGGTTGATGCAGGCATCGGGGGTTCCGGAAAACGTGCTTGCCGCTGTAAGGCTCATCTTCCGGGTTTAGGGGTTTAGGGTTTAGTGCTTAGGGTTGTCCTCCGGGAGACTGAAACCTACCATCATCGTAAGCCCCTGAACCCTAAGACGCTCCAGACGTGCCACTACAAGTTTCGAGCCTAGAGCATGGTGTCTTGTAGAGCCGTTGCAGGAAAGCTGCAAGCCAACCCGTGCACGGACCTTCAGTCTTCAATAAATGGGGGTTTCCGATTATTAGGGGTACCTTATTTTGGGGTCCTTATAATAGGGACCCTACTATTTAGGGTACTATATTAGGGTCCCCTTTTTTCGGGAACCCCCAAATAGGGTTTAGGGTTTAGTAATACAAGCTGCAGGCAAGCCTCAACCCTTTCTCCCACTAGGCTCAAGTTTATTTCAAACGCCCCTCCATAGAAGCCTCGACTCCACCCTGAACCCTAAGGGTTTAGGGTTTAGGGTTTAGGGTTTAGGGTTTAGGGTTTAGGGCTAAACCCACTGCAGGAAAGCCTGAACAATGAGGTCTTGACGATCGAGGCCCCGCGCTCAATTAATAAGCCCTCAAGTTTTAAAGTTGTTAATCGCCTAGTTGTCAGAGCCTCGCGCAATCTGCCTTCCTCATGTTTTCTGGCAGGGTTGCAGTGTGAGCGAGCATGCTCTGTGCAACCAGTGTTTCAGACCAAGGAACCTAAACTGAAAACGCTAAGCTTCCTTCTGGGCAGATGGCTTTGGTCCGGGTTGTGCGAGTTGTGAGAGTCGAAACCATGAGATTTAAGCACAAACTCACGCCCCCCCATGACTCCGAAACCGGCCGAAGCGGAGCTGTGTCTGCTTTCCCGACACAGAACCCACGCACTACAGCCCAAAGCTGTGCACCAGAAGGCAACCCTACACTCCACGGAGTTTTGTTCTGCTGAATTGCGGGTCTAGGGCATCCCAGGACCCCTAAACGGCCAGCATGACCTTGCAAATACGAGGTGCAGGATGGAAATGGCAGTGAAAGAGGCTGCTGATCTTGCGAAGCCTTGCCTTAAGAACCCAAAACCAACTTTTTTGTAGGGCCCCTATAAATCCCATATCAGGATTTATAATAAGAACCTATAAGAATTGTGTGTTTTGGGTTCTTAAGGTGAACCCTAAGCCACAAGGTTCTTGGCCAGAAGGGCGGCGAGTGGGCGCCGCAGGGCAAGGCTCCAATGCACGCACGAGCTTTGAGTGTTCACCCCCCCCGGCATTCAGGTGTTTGGGGGTATCTTGTTGGCTGAAGATGTCGAAAAAGTCATTGTGGAGTTTGCCCATAGGCCCCATAGTATAGTTCCTTTTGGGGTTCATATTCAGAATCCTATAAGGTAATCCCCAAAAGGAACTACTATGGGGCCTATGAGAAGTGCCAAAGGCATTGGTCGGCTTGCGGGGGGCCATCGACTACCCCATCGCCGTGGGCGTGGTCGGGAAGCCAAAACTTCAAGAGCTCCAGGGCTTAAGGCGAAGAAGGTTAGCCTACCCAGGGTCTCCAATGTAGTTCCTTTTTGGGTCTGTTATGGTTTTTTGGTAAGGAATTATAGTATACTATCCAAAAAAGAACCACATAGGAGCCCTTGGGTAGTTAGACTGCTTTGGGAATACAGTGGTTCGGGTTGCACGGACTTGAGCATTGAAGTGTTGGGGAGTTCTTCTAAGGCGTGCTCTTTAGATGTCGGGGACTCCAGACTTCGGCCTCCCTGCACAAACGAGGATGTTTCAACATAGGGTTTAGCGTTTATGGGGCTTAGGGCTCAGGTTATATAGGGTTTAGGGCTTCGGTTTTGTAGGGCTTAGGGTTTATAGGTTTTGGGGCTAGGGTTTAGGCTTTACTTCTTCGATTTGTTGGAGATCGGCGAGCTTCTCATGTTATGGGCCCCTAGTAAGCCTTGAGGATCCAAGAAGCCTCTGAACCGAAGCATCAGCCCTCCCTGGAGATGAGTCCGAAGCGCTTCCTCCCTTTGAAGCCCAAAGGGGTCCGATATGTCTTGTTATGGGGAAGACTTGCCCAAATCATCATAGTAACTCCTAAGATAGAAACCCTACAATTCTACTATATATATATATATACTGTTATGGGGAATACTTTTCCTAAATCAAAAGTAATCCCCAAGAAAAGAAACTACATTCTACTATATAGGTACGTAGGAGCCTTTGGGAAGGTGAAGATCCTGACGACTTCCAAGAACGACTATGTGCAGGGAAGCCGAGACCGTGAGGGCAATGGCTAAGGCCTCATAGGTGTATAGAATCCTAACCCCTTGGGACCAGTATCGCTACAGACCTTGCTGGGGTGTGAGTGTCAAAAACCCCTGAATAAACCTGTTATGACAGTATACTGTCAGAACAGGATTAATCAGGGGTTAGGGTTCTGACTACTGCTTCAGAAAGAGTTGGAGTAGACTTCCTTTCAGTGTGCATGCGGATGCAACTTCCTCTTGTCGCCGGGTTCTGTGGGGTGTGGCGGAAGTTGGGGCTTTGGCTAAACCCTAAACCCTAAAACCCGAAAGCCCGAAGCTTCCTTGGGAAGGACGATGGGTTCAGGCAGGATGCCAGGCTCCAGGGGACGTTAGGAGTTAATTTGGGCCCGTGACACTTTGAGTTTACAGTGTGAAGTTGGAACGAAGTTGTCAGGGTTTCTGAATGCTTATGCTATGGTTCAAGCTTCTTTCAGAATCTCATCGAACATGTGCTCATGTCGTCATCGTGGGCGCCCTACTTAAGACGGTACTGGTTGCCCTTCCACTTCACCCCATCCGACAGGCCTCAGGCCCCCAGTCTGCAGCTCTCAAAAACCATGTGCTCAGCCCTGGCGTGGTTAAGGCAAGGTCGAGCGGGTGGGTCCATTTCTATGGCCATGCGATCACTGGCCTTGAAGGTGGGGCTTGTCGAGAAAAAATCGGGCTTGAGAGGGGTCAGCTTTAACTTGATCCAGAAACGTACAGTTGCTGCCGGTCTCCACACCAATTTCGGAGTTGGATGGTTTTGGGGTTTCGGATCCATAAAACCTGACTCCGCGTGTTATTCTGAGGTCTTTGGGGTTTCCAGCCCGGCACGTTCATTCAGGCTTTAGGGTTCTCGGACGGAGCTTTTAATGTAGGGGCCTAAATAACTACATTTTTTGTGGTTGTTCTGTATTATAATCGAAGTATATTGGGCCCCGAAACCCTATTCTAATTATCATGGCCCCTACATCATTAGTGAGATAAGAAGTCTCGGGTCCAGCCTGGCGGTGAACAGGGCCTTTGGGGCAGTTTCTGGCAGTGAGCCCTGCCTACAAGGGCAAGCGTCGGTTATTCTCGTAGCCAACCGGGTCTCCAGGTTTCCTATGTCAAGCTCACAGAGGTAAACCCCCGATCTCCGCTCGTGTCTTCTCAGTCTGCTCGTGCAAGGGGTATTAGATGTATGAGACTCAGCAATCCAGTCGAAGATGCCTGTCAGATACTGCCATGAGTTCAAGAGCCCATATATACGCAATACACTTCGGTCCGACAGAGGAGTTCCAATTTAGGAGCCATGCAGGGTGTCCGGTTATGCACAGTAGATAGTGTCACTCTGTTGCTTCTGCTGCGACATGCCTTCATGCTTTTACCTTCCTACTCGTTCACAAGTCCTGTTAATCACTATGGCTACGTGGGCCTTGAGGAGTTGCAGCCTGTAGGTACCTCTCTTCATTGCTGACTCATTGAGGCCGTTGCATACCCCGAACCGCTTCTGTTGGTTTGGTTAGGCAGCTTCTATTGAACAACACCATCTGTTTGACCACCCTCCTCCCCTCCAGCCTGGGCAAAACGATGAGGACTCCGCACTTGGCATTCAGTGTTTCAATTTGTCCTGCGCTTCAGTTGAAGCTTTATTTGCAGACTTCGGAAACTTAGCGGCTGCTTGTGCACTTGGAGCCCTGCTGCTGCGCATTTTCGGGGATCGTGGGTTTAGCATTTAGCGGTTCATGATCGTAAAGTCTTTGGATTCGGCAGTTCGCCGAAGTGCATATAGGGCTTTTAATTTCGAAGTTGAGGGATTTCTCTGGCGTCGTAGGGCTTAGGCCAACGTTGAGGCTCCTTTGAGGTCATGAGGTTTCCAACCGTGCCTTCTGGACACTCGATCAAGGCTTGTCAACACGTTTCTCCGGGATTTCTCAAGGAGAATCGAACAGAGAGGGATTGTTAATATGGTAGGCATTTGCCGGGGCCCTCAGCTATCAACACGAACTATGATCTCAGGGTCGTTGCAGGTGACAACAATAGTTGAACTAGTTTCATATAGAACTGAAACTTTCTAGTCGAGCTGCGTGTGCTGCAGGTGATCTTTCCTCTGGGGCACTAAAGGTTCACATCTTCAGGCTTTGGTCACAAGGCCCAGACTACAATACTGTATCAGGCTGCTGACTAGCTTAGTAGCTGTGGTTTCACCTGTAAGGCGCTGCCATGAGTATTGGATCTCTGTTGGTCGATAATGGGGTCCTACAGTACCTGGAACATGACGCCTTGCATCCGCCAGACTCCATAAGACGGTCGGGCCGTGGTGCGTTGTCTTACTGTGGTCACCTTAGGGATCCCTAGGGAAGAAGGTTGGTAGCTATTCAAGCTTCTATATGACCCTAGACACGCACGTCCTTTGATCTTGGAGCCAGAAAGCCCCAGACCCCCACCTGCCAAGCCGCCAAAGCCCTGCAAATCTCGAAACGTCGACACCCGGAGATACCCGAAATCCTAGAAGCCCTATAAGCCTAAACCCTGGAAGCCACCTCCGTCGAGCGCGACTGCCAAACACAAGCCCCTAAACCCGGACACCCCTCCCTTCACGAGGACTCGTCTGTCCCGCGGCCCATGCAGGACCTCACCTCGCCCTGGCCTTGGGTTTAGAGGGTCAAGTTTAGGATTAGTAGCTTAGGCCCTGAACCCTAAACCCTATACCCTAAACCCTGAACCCTAAACGTGCTCAGGGTTTAGGGTTAGTAGCTTGGGCGCCTTAAGGTTCTAAGGCTGTAACATCGCTCTGCCCTTGCGCTTTCATTTAGCAGTGCCAGCAGGTTGTCGTGCAACAGCTTTTAAACGGCTGTTGACACAAGAAGCTGAGGGATTTAGGAAAGAGCTTTGGGGTATACTATGTGTTATTTTCAAGGGGAACCCCGAGAATATGTCCGGCAAGTATGTCAGCGAACCTAGAATTTGGACAGCCGGGGCCCTAGAGGCCCCACCCTCCAGCTGACTGGACACATATGGACAAGCTGGGCCAAGGGCCAGACGCCAGGAAGGTTCAAGAGACAGTTTCCCCATCTCTGAAGCACCCAGAGAAGAGCTGGGAGGCTTTGCGACGCCTGAACCCTAAGACCTATAAACCCTAAACCCTAAGTCTTTTGCTGAACCAGTATCGCTACAGACCTTGCCTGGCTTGTCCGAGTGTGAGTGTCAAAAACCCTAAGCCCTATTTTCTGGTTGTTGGGTGAGTGGAGCCTGCAGAGCTTGGGGGCTGGCCTTGCCTTCGTACCCGGGAGATAGCCCCTATTATAATTTGTTGCTCCCATGGGTTTAGGGTTCAGCAGCTCCGGATGGAGCAGTGTCTGGTCGAGCTCGCTATCTCGAACCTGCCCAGGAACCCTCAAGATTGAGAAACCACCTTGTTCATTAATCCTAGAGCTGGCCAAGCTGGGCAGTAAGGGCAGCAGCCGAGTCCCTTGAGAAAAAAGATCCTAAACCTTACAACCTACATCCTGAACCGTTAAACCTATGATACAACCCCAGAACAACCTTAAACCCTGTGATGCGAAGCCTAGGCCTTGAACCCAGAACCCTGAATCCTAGGCCTTGGACCCGAAACCCTAAACCCTGAACACTAGGCCCAAAGACGCCATATTCCACGAGCAAGTTGCCAAATTCCGCGAACAAAAAATGCCAGGCCATTTCTTCGCGGAATTTGGCAATTTGTTCGCGGCATTTGGCAAAAACACCGAACAACATATTCCGCGAATCCATATAAAGTTTCAATACATGTGATAAACAGGGTTCCCGGAAGGGTTTACTATCAGGGTTACAAGCAGCGGGTGCTAGGACATCCCAGCCTACGCCCAATCCTTTAAGCTCTAGAGCCAAGCTCTGGAATTTGTCTTGGCCTAGGCTGACGATGGTTTAGGGTTTGGGGTTTAGGGTTTAGGGTTTAGGGAATTTGTCTTGGCCTAGGCTGACGATGTACTACATCCAGGGAAGCGTCCAACATTTGGTCGTCACGGAGCCTTGGCCGCGACAGACATTGCCCCTGACCTCTTGCCCCATATGCCCAAGACCTGCTGTGGGAACTTGCATGTAGGGCCATCTTTATGGGTTCGAAGCATAGGATGCCACATTGCCGAAGCCTCACTGGGACTGTTGCTCTTCGGTCCTGAATCAGGCCCTTGAGTCTGACTCCTATGTTCTCGGTGCTAGCTGCGAGGTGAATGGGGCAGATGGCCTTCCTGTTGCAGATCCAGACTACGGCTCCTCCAATCCGCTTTGCCCTGAGCTGATCCAGCGAGGGCTTCATGTGGGCTCAGTATTTAGGATATGGGGAGGTGTCTTGCAACTAGCGGCTGCTCAGTACGGCGTCCGTACACTAAGTTAACCCAGGGTCACTCACAGTCTGGCCCAGAGGCCCAGAGGAGCAGTCATAAGTCACCCACCATAACAGCAGTGAAGCATTAACAAGCTCTGCTCCTTCCCCAAGACCCGAAGCCCTAAACTTTATACGCCCCCAAACATCCCTACGCCATATCGGTCGGGCCCCAGAACAGCAACTAAAAGCCCCACATGCAGAGCTTATAGTCTCAAATCCGCCCCAGAGCCTGGCCCTGATTGACGCAGAATGAAGCTGACAGCTAAAGATTCCCTGACCAAGTTTCGTCCACAAAATGCCGCAGCGCCAGGGTCTTTGACTAGATATTCATTTAAAGGGCTCGTAAAGCATGTTAAGTAGAAGGGCACCATTGACGCATCGCCAGTATGACTTACATGTGAATGTGAACCCCTTAGTTAGTCGCGGGGACTAGCTGTGAGGTTCGTCCGTGTGAAGTACGACGGCACCGTGGAGCAAAGTCCTGTCGTCATGGCCTCCCTGGCCCCTTGTTGGAGCTCCTTGGCGATTGAAAGCCGGTTTACGGCTTAGGGTTTAGGGTTTTGGGCCATTTTGGCTCAAGCTTTATGGCTACGA